CTACGTGCGAAACCCGCCGTCCACAAAAAGGAAACTGGAATTGCCTCTTGGCTGACACAGCCCACTCCTTCCCTCCCTGGCCCAGGATGTGTCGAGTCCGCCTGTGGGCTGGTCACTGTCCCCATCAGACTGCCGTGACTGTCAACCAACCACCTACGCTGCCAGCCAGACTCCGGTCTCCTTCTCATACGAAAAACATTAGGACCTTTTTGTCAACGCCCGTCTGCAGTCCCAGCGCACTGGGAGTAAACACTGCCTGGCTCTGACCGGCGCAGGGCTTGGACCCGGAGGGCTTGGAGCTCACTGTCACCTGGTCACAGAGGACACTTCGCCTGGTCCTCTGCCGGCGGTGGCTGCAGGTCTGCCTCCGGCTCCCTGCTCCAGGGCTTCTAGAATCCATCCCTCTGCGAACCGGGATGGTGCTGTGGTCACGTCCACCAGCCTCTGTTCTTCCTCCAGATGCAGCGTGTCTCTATGATTCTATTCCCGAGTCCTTGCCACACTCTGGGCACCTCTCGACCCACAGAAGGAGCCGTGGGCACAGCAGCGGGTCGTCCTCGGTGCGGCTGCTGCCCCTTGACCTTATGCCACACGGGTGGCTCTTCTCTGTCCTCGTGCCAAACAGACTTCTAAGAGCCAGGTGTGCCCGTGCGTACATTCTTAGCAGCCCTGGGCCTGTCCTCTGTCGGGCCACCCCCGGCCCTGCTCCTCCCCCCCCACCCGCAGCACACACCCCTGCTTGGTCGGAGGAGAGAGTTCCACACGCGTGTGGCCCCAGCAAGACCCGCCCGGCTCCCCCGCCCGGGGAAGAAGCCCTTCTTTGTCCTTCGTCCTCCTAACAACTGCCTTCCTCATTTGCAGCGTAGGAATCCTTCGGTTTGCGAGACGGCAGCTCCAGGTCCCCAGGAGGGTGAGTTGGGGGAGGAACAGCCGCAGGTGGGGCCCACCTGTGTGGAGGGGCCTGTCCACCTGGCAGAGCCAGAGGTCACGACCTCATAGGCTGCGCCTCCCCCATCCTGCCCCGCCCATCGCCAGCGTCAGCAGATGCTGAATTCTGGTTCCAGAAGGGGGGAGGGGAGCCCTTGGAACCGGTCCAGCAGTTGCACCTTTAATCATCAGCATCACCCGACGTCTTTTCCTGTCCCCAGTCCAGAGGCTCTGGGGTGAGCCTAAGGCACCAGGTCTGTGAAATCAGCATGGGCCGCGCAGCGCCTGCCTGGGACCCGGGCTCCTGCGAGCGCCAGGGTCCCATTCCCGTGCCGCCCGCCGGGCTGGGGGCCTGGGCCCCGCTGCTTGTGTCCGCGCAGCCTCGCCAGTCCCCAGAGCCCTCGAAGCAGTGGGGACCCTGCCGTCAGGCCAGTAAACAGAGGCACAAGCAGATAACTCAACAGAGAAACAAACTGCAGTGGCAACAGCAATCTCTTTCTAACTTCTCTTTAGGGGTGGGCTTTGCGATGTCGCTTTCTGTTTTCTTTTTTGAAAACAGGCAGAATTGTTTTCTTGGGACTCCATCCAAGAACATCAGATAAATAACTGCGGCCCCGCTCCGGCCGCTCACAGGAACCCGGGCGGGCAGAGTGTGGGAGAGCGAGGCTGTGCTTTGATGCATGGGAGGCCACGCTGGGGGCACGGGGGTCTCTGCGGATGTCCCAGGCTCTGTCGTCTCTGCTTATGGCCTCGGGCAGTCCAAGGCTCTGCTCCCTCCTCCCGGCACACGCTCAGCACGTCAGATCTGACCGGCGCCGTCCCCCCTTTCTTCTTGGTGTGTGTAAGGGGCACACGCCTCCGGGGCAAGAACCAAGTGCCCCCGGGTCCAGCCTGAGCCCACCTGATTGCTCCCCGGTCCCCACCCCCTGAGCTCCACTCGACTGCCCACTCAGCCCCCACCTGGGGGCAATGTCCCTTTTCTCCGCAACAGCTGTGCTTTCTTGGGCAGAGCCATGTGATCTCTGTTCTCCCCCTGGAAAGCCAAACCTCATCTGCCAAGCCCAGTTCTGAAGTCACCTGCCCACGGCCAGAAGCCCTCCCTGGCTCAGGATGGGGCTCCCCTGGGGTCCACTCGCCCTACTCTCCGTGCCGGGCACCGCCTGTGAGGGTCTCCCTGCCACACCGGGGCTCCTCGAGGGCAGAGCCTGGGTCCTCCAGGGCTGGACACACTCCTTGCCCGAGCACGGCAAGAAGGGGCTGTGGCCAGGGGCACGAAGGGCTGGGAGGCAGACACACTGAGCTCAGACCCCACTCGAGCCTCCCCAGCAGAGTCACTCCTTACGGCCTGCAAGAACCTCCTCTTACCCCCAAACTCAGCTCGGAGGACCCCCTCTATCACAGTGGTCATCTTCTGCCATGTGTCCTCACACCTGGTTCCCCCCTTCATCGGGGCAGGTATTGCACCCGTTGAAGCTCCAGGTCCCCTTCTGCATGGTGAGTCCCGGAGGGCAGGGCGGGGGCTGAGTCATCTCCTCCTCCCCGGAGCCCGGCCTCGGCCAGGCCCGAGGGCCACTGCGACTCTCTGCTGGCTGAAGGGGCGGCTCCCAGCCCTGCTGGGCTATTGGTGGCGAGGGGAGGCCCTGCCTGTCCCTGGGTCCCCCGGGCATCCCCTTCTCCTGGACCGCGGCTGCCCTTCCAGGCTGCTTTGCACCCTGCCCCCGAGGGAGTGCTTGCAGCCCACCCTCCTGAGACTCACGTCACTGTGCCAGACCAAGGCCCTGTGTCTCTCTGTCTAACCCCAACCCGCCTCCCAGCGTCAAACAGCACCCTACCGTCCACACCGCTGCCCGGCCGCACTGAGCCCACTGCAAGCGTCCCCACCCCTGCCCGCTGCTCCCGCGTGTGTCCAAATCGGGTCTACGTTCGGGCTCAGGGCGGATGCCTCCTCTTCCTCTCCCCATCCCCCAGGCAGCGGGGCTCCCCAACCTCCGAGGCCCCAAGGGACCCATTTTGCAACTGGGGCCGGCCGTTCCCCAGGCCCCCCCGCCTCCGAGACCCAGAGGCGTCCCCTACGAGGAGCACGGTGGGGGGAAGCATCTGTCCACCCCGACTTTTACACGGGATGCGTGTGAGACCCTGCTCTGCACGGGCTGTGGTCTGTCTGCTAGGCAGTGCGTTCTGCTATCAGACGGAATTCAGTTGTGGTCACGTTAGAAGCGTCCCCGTGGCCGAATCACTGTCCCGGGATGCCACCGGAATATAAATCGGCACCGGCTGGATCTGCTTGGAGACGGCCGTCGGCGTTTGCCCCGAGCCGTCTGAGGACGTGCAGACGAGGGCGCCGCCCCCTCGCTGGGGCACGTTTCTGTAATTCGACGGACGGGAGCCCCAGCTACAGAAGGAAGGGGGTTTGGCCGCAGGCAGGGCCCCTCTCTGCGTACCTGTCTCCCCTCGGGCGCGGGCAGGAAGCGCCGCACGTTCACGTTCACGCGGGGGGTGGAATGATCTGGGTGGTTCTGATGCGGTGCCTGGGTGGGTGTGTCCCCAGTGTCCTTTCTGCAGAGCTCCGAGCCACCGCGGCGGGGGCGCGGGCAGCCACGTCGCTGGCCGGCAGACCCTGCGCCTCGATTTTCACCCAGCGCTTAAAATGCCAAAGGAGGCCGGGCGCGGTGGCTCACGCCTGTCATCCTAGCACTCTGGGAGGCCGAGGCGGGCGGATTGCTCGAGGTCAGGAGTTTGAAACCAGCCTGAGCAAGAGCAAGACCCCGTCTCTACTATAAATAGAAAGAAATTAATTGGCCAACTAATATATATATATAAAATTAGCCGGGCATAGTGGTGCATGCCTGTAGTCCCAGCTACTTGGGAGGCTGAGGCAGGAGGATTGCTTGAGCCCAGGAGTTTGAGGTTGCTGTGAGCGAGGCTGACGCCACGGCACTGACTCTAGCCTGGGCAACAAAGCAAGACTCTGTCTCCAAAAAAAAAAAAAAAAAGCCAAAGGAATAACGGAAATATGGCAGACCTACGCAAGGGAACACTATTCAGCCTTCAAAAAGGAAAAGGGAATTGCATCATCGGAGACGAGGTGGGTGAGCCCAGAGGATGTCGTGTTGGGTGGGACACGCCAGACACGCCGTGTCATAGGGCTGAACGTGGCAGCTAAGAGAGCAAGCCTCACAGGAGCAGAGAGACTTCGGGGTGGTCGGGAGATGGGGCAGATATGGGCCGAAGGACACGAAATTTCAGGGAGACAAGAGGAGTGAGTTTGAGAGTAAGCGCCAGGCCGGGCGCTGTGGCTCACGCCTGTAATCCTAGCTCTCTGGGAGGCCGAGGTGGGTGGATCCTTTGAGCTCAGGAGTTCGAAACCAGCCTGAGCAAGAGCGAGACCCCGTCTCTACTATAAATAGAAAGAAATTAATTGGCCAACCAATATATATAAAAAAATGAGCCGGGCATGGTGGCGCATGCCTGTAGTCCCAGGTACTTGGGAGGCTGAGGCAGGAGGATCGCTCGAGCCCGGGAGTTTGAGGTTGCTGTGAGCGAGGCTGACGCCACGGCACTGACTCTAGCCTGGGCAGCAAAGTGAGACTCTGTCGCCAAAAAAAAAAAAAAAGAGTAAGCACCAACTATCACACAACTTCCTGACTATAGTTAGGAACGCTGCGGTATATACTCGAAAACCGCTGAGAGAAGATTCCGTGTTCTTATCACCAACAAAAGGGGAGTACGTGAGGTCACGCGTGTGTTCAAGGGCTCGACTCGGCCAAGCAATGTGTACATACATGGAGACATCCTGTTGCACACCATAAACACATATAATTTGCATTTGCTTAAAAATAAACGAATTAAAAAGCAAAGGAAGAACATTCTGGGTAGAACTGATGAGGAAATCACACGCAAGGACCTCTACCTCCTTATTCTAAATGGGTTTGCCCAGTGTCACCAAGGCAGCACCCCAAAACGCGAGACAGGTGGCGGCACCCCTTGTTGCCAGGCTAGGAGGGGGGGAAATGATGCGGGCAACGCTCAGACCACGGGTCCGTTTGACTCTAAAATCTTTATACTCAGGGGCGCCATGGCAGGCAGGGAGCACAGCTGAGAGGGGGCCAGCCCTGCCTCAACCTCCCCTACGCCCCTCTGCTGAGCTGGCTGGCCTCGGGCTCAGCCCTGGGCATGTGGTGACCAGCTCCGGGCCTCCCTCTGGGGCCCTGTCACTGATCCCTGGCCTGGGCTGACCGGCTGGGCGCCCGCCTGGCCCTGGGTCCAGCTCCCCATCTCACGTGCCCTGGGCCGGTCCCACACTGTCCTTGTCCCCCCCTGACAAGGGAGCCCCATCTCGTGTTCCCTCCTGGGCGGCAGGCATCCCACCGACATGGCAACAGCGTCCCCTCTCCTCTGGCCACCCAGTGGGCCTCTCCTGTCCCCCTCTCACGGAGTCCGGCCCCACCTGCCCCTGCCCTGGGTGTTCCACGGGGCCCACTGCGAATCCCAGGGCGGGAATGTTTCTGAGCATTAATTTTATTGCTACTGCCGACCAGAGTTAAACCCTCCCAGTTCAGCTTTGAACTCTAGAACGACAGCTCTGAAGGTCTAATAAGCTGGTTAAGACGGATTTTAGGAAAAAAAAAAAAAAATCAAGCCTAAGTCTACGACAGCAAACCCAGAACCATCTTTTTTTTTTTTTTTTTTTTTTGAGACAGAGTCTCGCTTTGTTGCCCAGGCTAGAGTGAGTGCCGTGGCGTCAGCCTCCCTCACGGCAACCTCAGACTCCTGAGCTCAAACAATCCTACTGCCTCAGCCTCCTGAGTAGCTGGGACTACAGGCATGCGCCACCATGCCCGGCTCATTTTTTCTATATATATTAGTTGGCCAATTAATTTCTTTCTATTTATAGTAGAGATGGGGGTCTCGCTCTTGCTCAGGCTGGTTTCGAACTCCTGACCTCGAG